CATACGTAACCGAGACGTTTTTTTGGGATGGATGTCAGGTTTGTATGTGGTTTGTATGTTTGGGGGCGTGTGTAATATTTGAGAGAGAAAGACTCTACCGAAAATCACAAATCCAACCACTGTGTGCACCAGTGGAGCTTTGCTGGCATCTAATGGGGAAAATTTGGTACTTTGCCCAAAAAAATTATCTTACTGAAAGCACATTTTTTGAGATATCAACCTCACGTTTGGAACACAACTTGTTTAGATTTATGGCTTTATTTTCTAGCAGTTGAGTTAGTTATTAAGTATAGAGAGAGAGAGAGAGAGAGAGAGAGAGAGAGAGAGAGAGAGAGAGAGAGAGAGAGAGAGAGAGAGAGAGAGAGAGAGAGAGAGAGAGAGAGAGAAAGGTGGGAGGGTGTGTGATGGCTCCCAAAGCGCTGAAGCTATAATCACTTGCTTGGCACGGTAACCCCCACTCCTATGAGCCCAACTAAAGAGAATTAAGCTGGACCAGCTGAGCACAGGCAGGTGCTGTGTTTGTTTTTCTGATGTGTTAATAAGAGTGCTTCAGCTGCCTACTGGACCATACGCCACACACCCCACCCAGTCAAACCACACAGCGCTGATTCATTTAACAGGGCAATGCTGTCAGGAATTGCAAATAGAAGTCATTTGTCCACACAATTATGTAATTATTTGAGGAAATAGCATTGAACCGAGGCTTTCCTATCCCTTCGGCTCAAAGTAAAACCTTGTTTTGATTTGAGGGGATTTTTGATCGACTAGAGCCACCACATTTACATTCATTTCTAAGTAAACACATTTCTACTAAAGCACTTTACAGGAAAGAAGGTTAAATGTAATTACTTCAGTAGGGTAAGATGGGAAGATGCCCCCTTAAGAATAATGCCCATTTACTTTTAAATTGTAACATATAGAGATATAAGTTTAACTGATGATGCATCAGCCAATGAGTTAAGGAAAAATGTGCTAATCTACTAGTTGTCATTGCACAAAATGTGATGTCCCACTACTTTAGTAGTCCATTTTAATGTGTCCACAGATCGTCATTAACAAATAGGGGAAAAAACTGATATTCAGCATAATACAGTGTCACTAATTTTTAGAGACACTAAATCTCACAAATGTTAATATTCAGATAAAATGACAAAAATAAGTAGTACTTCTTGTAGCGATTCATTAAATGTGTTGAGTTGTGATTTTGTGCTATGATCTGTATGATCAAGAGGGAAAAAAAAATTAATGGGGGTCATATACCCTTCTCTGCTACAAACTGATTACAATGTTAAAGTCCCATAAGTTTAGAATTATGTATAAATACTTTTTTTTTTGATGCACACAGAAATGGTCTCATTGAGTCGGTACGAGACGTGGAGAAACGCTATTATAAGCGCTAAACTTAAATTTTCAACGATTTGTGTTTTGTTATATTTGATAAAACGTCTCAGCTTTCAAATCGTGTTCATTTTACCGCAAAAGTCTAACAATGTCGTTTTGACGCTCTTTGATGTGGCGTGACAGATCGCTGTGGAAGCCCCAATCGACCTCTTCCGCTTTACTACTAAGTTTCAGCAGGAAATAAATATGAATGAACATCTGAGGGTATGTTGAAAAAAACAACACAACTTACTGAAATGTTTTATCTCTCATGTCCAGTCAGTGTTTCAACTGTGGAAAACTTCTATTTGTTATTTAAAGTTTGTTTGAGTAAGTCACAAATCACAAAAAAGTTTTGGGATAGATAAAGGTCCATTTCCACCTGTTCTGGATTAAAACAATTACATAGTTCTGGCATGAAACTCAGGAAATGGTGCAGGGCGATAGGTCTTTAACTTATTGGTAGCAATCATGTCGTTTTCTACATAGCACAGCTGATTGGTTGCTGTTGCATCAGCGGCCAATGAGCTTGCTGCTCACATTCAAATACTTGCCATTGTCTCGGTACTTGCTCTGCAGTAGCAGCGTAGCAGATCTATTCCGCCAAGACCAAATACATTAACATTGCCATATCATGCCAATCTCTATTACCATACCAATCTCCCGAGAGTTGTCATGACAAAACTTAAAATTATGTTAAATTACAAGTTATGACCACTAAAATTACACCTGACAGCTAGTGATAATTTCTGTTGTGTCTAAAATAGAAAGTTTGATAACTCTTATTGTGGTCCAAACAAGAGTTAGGCCTATAGATTTCACACAGAATGAGGTTGGGCAAAGGACAACATTTTCAGCTTAAACTAAAGCAAACAGTCTGCAGAAAATACATGGCGATTGTTCATGTGACAGGGTGATTTATGACATTTTAGAAAGACATTTCTTTTTGACATTTTGTTTGAAGTTGCATTTAAAATACACACCAGAGAGAGCAAATTAGGTTGGGCATGACACTTCTGACAGTAAGCCAGCCCTCTGGATGTGATAAATGTCAAAAGCAATAATTTGATTGTGGCAAATATGATGGACAGACCTGAATGGAAGAATTTTTAGATTTAGAGGAATTCCACCAAATTTTGTATACACTCAGACAGATGCAACCAGTTCAGAGTGAGTTACAACAATTTATTGAATAGATATCAGATCTAGGGGGAAAAGTGAATGAAAGGTGATTGTCATTATTTTGTCCAGCATGTGACAAGATTAGTGAAGGACAATTGGTTGTCTAGGGGAAACTCTTTGGTGTTCCAAACATCAGGAAGTGAGTGATTAAGGTCTTGTACAGGAGTCTTGTCAAGGTTCAGTTTAAGGTAAAGAGGAAGCATCCATGTTGATGTCACAATGACAAACTCCCTCTTATATTATTAACATGGCTTTGTCATGAAATTTGACATTAACCTCATTCTATCATACTTCAATGTTGAATAAACAACAGTGGCACGAAATCTGACAATACGCACATCTCTGTGGAATTCTGAATCATATGCAGAAGTTCCTTATCTTCCGCAAAGCCAGTTTCAATCAACATGACGATTAATCTGTAAACCACTATTTCATTCTCATTTGGGAAGGAACCCTGCATCAGCACCTTTGTTCACCACTACACTCCCAAAAAGGTGATTCAGAGGTTTTTTGGATGACGGATGGTATTAGGTAGAAGAAAAAACTTCTTTTGGATCTCTTGGGATCAATAAAAATGTTCTGAACTGCCCGGTTCTTGGCAACAAAAAGGATCTTTAATAAAATATGAAGCAAGTATATATTTTCCTTTGGCATTGAATTTATTGAAGTTTTCATAAAATAATAAATATAATGGTAATTTTTTTTGCTTTCCAATGCCAAATGATTCCTTTCAGTCTTTTGTGAGATTGTCTTTTTTTTTTTAACAATTCATGACATATTCAGTTTATGCTTACTAAATGAATGATAAATAGCTTAAACATATAACATACATGGACTGAAATCCACAAAACCATAATTAATGGGGTGGAAAAAGACACACAGTGTGCCTTACTTTAGCAATGTAATGTAAACAAAATAATTATTATGGCAACAGATAATGCGTTGACACTGAGACCATGGTGTCATTCTCTGGAAGTGGGTTTCAGTGCATGCTGGGTGAAACGTAATCAACCACTCATTAGTAGAGCTATCTATTGCATGAAGGACCCAAAAGTAATGAAATGAAAGCCAGACAGAGCAATAATTAGTCACACTTCACTAGAAATCTTCTCTTTGAGATGGTACTGTATTTTTCAGCACATTTCTCTGGATGTGCAGTCTTGTGTATAAATTCATTTTTATCAAATTTGCTGTGGAGATTTAAACCTAATCCGCATATGAAGCTCTTTGTTGCATTAGCAATAGTCCACAGGGGATATTTTGTTTTGAAGCTTTGAAGAAAAATGCCCCCGCACAAATTCCTCTCAGGATCCAAACACTACCAACTATTTAATTACATTAAATTGAGGATATCTGACAAGTATAAATCACACAATGGGAAGCCCTCTCTTAATCTGCTTTTGTTTTGACTTTAAAAATGTGCACACAGGCAAGCACACACACACATACAATACTGAGCAGAATTATTTATAAATTACTATTTTACTCACTTGGAATTAGATACTGTACATAAATTGAAATTATCAATCCATTTTCAAAACTTATGTAAAATCTCTCTCCAAGAGAAAAACGCCTGACAACATGCTGTTACATAAAAAAGATCATTTATTTTCATATTACTGCATATCAATGAGGGTTGCATCAATCGATGCTGTAGATATTCTCAAAGCTTTAGTTATTATGCTGACATTAATGAGATATTTAAAGTGTTATGTACAATACAGTTGAGAGGCTGCAGAGCAAACCACAGTCTGTGATAATGGTCTGTATGTGTTCTGATTCCGTCAAAAGCCATTGATGTTTAATTAACATATTCACTTGAGTTAAAGTCAGTTGACACCAGTTCACAAATACTATATATATATATATATATATATATATATTATGTGTAAACTGATGTCAACTTATGACTGAAATGCGTCAACTTATGACTGAAATGCACCAATATAATAACATAGAAAGCCTGGTAACGCTTCCTTTTACAGTCCTGTTACCCATGTACATACTATGTACTTATTATAGTAATTACAATTACTGGGTAATAACTAGGTACTAACCCTGAACCTACCCCTAAACCTACCCCTAACCCATGTACTTACCTTATATTAGCCAGTACTTTCTAGGTAAGTACACTGTAAGTACACGTACCGTAAGTGCTGTACTGTAAAAGGAAGCGTTACCGAAAGCTTTTTTTTTTTGCCCTTTGTATTTAGGACAAAGCTGTCGAACGGGAGCGGAAGCCTGCTGGGAAGTGATAAGCATGTTGTCAAACAGGTTTTTTTTGGCTTTTGTCTGTGAATGTAACATGCCATTTGAATGCCACAAATGGTTGTGATTTTTCCCCCCCATAATATTACTGTAGTACACATGTGTATGTTTGACATTGTTGGAATTCAATTCATACTAGCATGAATGCATTGAATCATGTTGTGGTTGACCTTTTTTCTCTCTTTTGTTTTACTGTGCATTAATTTACAACTTATTGTATTCCTCTAATATGATGTGTTTTAAAGTTGAATGGGATATTCAGCACAAAAACAAAGTGTGCAAATAGATTGTGAAAAAATGTGGGTGTTACAGACCAGAATGGAGCCAGACTGATGTGAGTTTGATAAAGGTATTGCAATCTGGCTACGTAGTTAAAGGGATTGTTCACTCAAAAATTTCTCTCCCTCATGTTACAATCATGCATGGTTTTCTTTCTTCTGTGGAACATAAGAGAATATATTTCGAGATTTTTTTTGTCCATACAATGGAAGTCACTTGTGACCAAAACTGTTTGGTTACCAACATTCTTCAAAATATCTTATTTTGTTTTCCGCAGAAGAAAGTACATCGTACAGGTTTGGAACAACATAAGGGACTGTAAATGATGACAGAATTTTCATTTTTGAGTAAACTATCCCTTTAACATTATTCAATAACCTGTGCAAACTATAGGTTATATTTGGTTATGTAAGGTCCACAAAGTGTCATCAACAGACAAGGAAAGTAGTTTCAGGGATGGAGCAAGTTATTATGTTTTGATTAAATATTACAAACAAACAAACAACTGATTTTGTAGGAATAAAATGCTCTGATGAATTATTCACTATAAATAAACTGACGCAATTATGATTTTGTTGACTTTCACTACATGCTGCTAGTCAAAATCCTTCATTCATAACACTTCCATTCCCAGAACACACCTGAGCTCCAAACCAAACCAAAACAAAGGCGTTAAATTCTAGGAATCTAAATCAAAACAACAGCGAGAGTGTTTATAAGAACAGGCTTTGCAGGAGGAGGGAAATCGATAGCAGAAATCAATGCTGGACTCCCTCTAATGGTAGAGTTATCTGTCACTGAACACGGCTCGCTCTCCGCCAGAGTCTCAACCAGTGTGCTAGCTGTTCAGTAGCTCCACAGCTTCTGTATTGTTGCACCGCTGAGCCAAGGTTAAAGCGGTACATCCTTTCGAGTCCTTTATACCCCGCTGTGCATTATTCATCAGCAGGGCTTTGATGATGGGGATGTTGCTGAGCTGGACGGCTAAATGCAACGGAGTTGACTGGCTGTTATTCTGTGCGTTCACATTGGCTTGATGGGATATCAGCTGCAGCACACTAGGGAAGCAGCTAATATTACAGGCTAAGTGGAGGGGTGTCCAGCCGTTATCCTCGGCCAGGTTAGGGTCAGCACCTGCTGTTAGCAGCACCATCACCACCCCCTCCTGTCCATGATGGCAGGCAAGGTGCAGAGGCGTCCAGCCGTCTTTCCCTTGGACGTTGACTAAGCCATGGTGCTCTTCCAACACAAGGATAGTCTCCGGATGGCCTTTCAAGGCTGCCAGGTGCATGGCTGTCCAATTTTGATAGGTTCTGATGTTGGGCTCGAGTCCGTTACTCAATAGAAGTCTGCAGATACCCGTGTGACCCTTCAGAGCGGCAAAATGAAGGGGACTGTAGCTTTGCTTATCGACTGTTTTCAGATCAGCCCCACTATTAACCAGCAAACGGACCACCCTGAAGTGCCCCTCATCTGCCGCTAAGTGTAGGGAACTGGACTGAAGGTTATCCTGTTTGTTGACATCAGCTCCCTTTTTGAGCAAGAGCTTGACGATCTCTAAATGTCCGTACATGCAAGCCACGTGAAGTGGCGTACGCCCAGACTGGTGCTCCTGCTCATCCACGGCATCCAGACGCGGGAACAAGATTCTCACAATGTTCTCGTGGCCATTCTGAGCAGCTAGATGCAGAGGCGTCCAGCCGTCCTTCTCCTTGGCACAGGCTCTCGCCTTATTTTCCAACAAAAGGCGAGCGGCTCTGTCATCGCCAGTCTGTACGGCAAAATGCAGGGCAGTCCACTGGTCGCCATCGCTGAGGTTGACGTCAGCCCCGCGCTCTGTCAGCAAGCTGTAGATGTCGTAAAACTTGTGGAGAACTGCAACAATGAGTGGGGTGTAGCCTTTTACACTCTGGCAGTTCACAGAGGCTCCTAGATCGAGGACCATCCGCACGCTTTCTTTGTCCCCGCTTGCAACGGTGTGATGAAGGAGAGTGTTGTTGTCTTGGAAGAGCGTCGATACATCCTCTTTTTGCAGAACATTCTTAAAGCTCTCAAAGTCTTTTCTTATAAGCAGAGAGTGAATGCTAGAATCATCTGTAATGAATAGGAACAAAATGGGACGGTGGACAGTTTTATATACAGTAAGAGTGCGTTTGTACAGTTTGTACAGAAAGTAAGAAAGACATTGATTGTGAGAACAAAATACTTGCCTGAAGCGTCAGCTGTTTTCTTTGGCTAATGGAGAGAAAGCAAAATTAAATTCATGTTACATCTATTGTGTGACTAGCAAATATATAGTTGTTGTCATGGATTTAAAAAAAAAATGTGTCTGTGTGCAGTTTTTGTTGTGCTGATCGATCTGGCAGTACGTTTACATGCGCAGTTATAATTGAACTACAGTGCTTTCTTTTGCGTACTTGAGCTATAGTCTTTGGGCCAGATTTACTAACTGATTGCGCAAGCGCAAACCCTCTTTTGGCGTTAAAAACTACTGTCAGGATTTACTAAAGGCGTGGACAGTTATTTTTGCGGCTGACCTTATTGCATATACATTTGTAAGAGTTTCCCTTTCAGACGCAAAATTTATGGGAGGAGAGTATTTAAATGAATCGTGTAAGGTGGTTTGCACTAGTCAATTTACTGGTATTTGCACCATTATTTACCACCCCAAAAAAGCATGTCTTAAACCAGACACTAAGTTGCGCTGCTCTTGGTAGATTGCATTGGTCATTATGGAAATGATCCGGCTGTATCTGTGTTCTTTAATTTGCGCGTCGTCAGTAGATCACGCACAGAACAATTCCACTCCCATCGGCACTTTTTTGGAATTGCGCTCTCACACTAATTTGCCCTGTTTAGTAAATCTGATCCATAATCTCTAAAAAGTTGAAATTAATGAAAATATACACAACACTAAGGCACACTGAAGTACGATTAACGTATATAAATGGTGGACAAAGCCTAGCTGCTATCGCATTATCTAGGTCTGTTACTTTGCAGAAACCGGAATGATACGATTTCAGTCAGACTAAAACGCTTATAATCAAGCACTGCTAGTCTTCATTAAACAGAAACAAGAACAAAACTGATGTTTGTTACCAGAGAATGCAGGTCGCCGGTTGCAGTCTTGCTAGATAATCTTTATGTATAATACACGTTGTGCATCATTACTGATGTTTGGAGCAAGCATACAACACTGACCCCAATTGTAGTTTGATTAACGTGTATAAATGCTGAACGAAGCCAAGCTGCAGTCGCATTAAGTCTAGGTCTGTTTGTCCGAGTGTTAGTCCAATTTCGGACTAATGTGGTTATGACATTTAAAAAAAGACAAATGATTGCTTTAGTTTGATTTTTTTTTTTCAGTTTGGTGTAAAAAGTTTTGCATATGAATATTTTGGACTGTTTAATATAACTCATGCTAACACCTTATGTGCTGATGGTGTAGTGTGGTCTAAACATGCACTGGAGGAGTCACTTACGTTCAATACCTGTTCAGGCAGACGCTTTCTTATCTCACCCCCTGAAACCGTCTCTGGTATTTTCAAGACTTCACTGAGGACTTCAGTTACCCGAACGATCTCTGCAGAAAAATGGAGATGATGCAGCTGAATGTCAATTTGGGAAACGTTTTTGCTCTCGCCTTTTTTAGGGGTTTCCACACAAGAGTGATCATTTGGGAAAAGAATTTGCAAATGGCCAGCCAATGATTGACAGCCTTTTAGCTACTCTTATGGAGCATCTAAATTGGCAGTGATAAAATTGTAGCTCAGGGGTCATAACTGGTCTAATCACACTGCTGATGTAGGCCCTACTACACGATTAATCATATTTAGCTCATTATACAATTCAACACTGCAACACAATTAGCAGAAGCTTATTATTAAACTAATGCTTGAACACAAACATTGAATATTAAAATTCAAAAGTATTATCACTAATTTAATTAGACATTTTACTGAAGGTGACCTGATGAAGATACAATTGCAGAGGAACAGGGAGGTTGATAAGAGGTGCAACAATGTTGGTTCATTGCTCATTGTTATTTCAGAAGGAATAAGACCAGAGAGACAACCGTGCAAACTTCTACTGAGGCTTCAGGAATGCATTTCGTCTGTTTGTAATCGAGCACTATTCTTCATTAAACAGAAGGAAGAAAAAACGAGGTTTGTTACCACAGAAAGCAGGTCGCCGGCTGCAGTCTTGGTGCCAGCATTGCTGCATGACACCGATCATGTCCTCGCACTCAGGGGGCTTGACTTCAGGGATCTTCTCTATACCAGGCCTTTTGCCAGATGACACTTTGATTAATATTTCTGTCATAGTCAAACCTGTGGCAAGAAAAATAGAACAAATTGCTTGGAGTGTTATATTAACTTTACAAATATATTTTATTTTGAGTTTAACAATACAAACACAGCTTGTGCTTCCTTCAAGCACTCTCATAACAAATAAATGGGTTCTTCAATAAATGGTAGGTGAAAGGTGCTTCAGAAATCAACCTCAGGTGGTCAAAATAAATATTATACGAGCTGTTTTGTTTTGGATTCATTTTATATATATTTTTTTTTGCAATCCTGTTATCAACGCTATTTTCTTACAATGACTTGGGTTGTATGACAAATGCAACATTACAATTTGTGTGAAAATCTGTGGAAAGTGCCAAAATTAGGAACCATATTTACCTTGATACGAGCGCTGTTGAGTGAGAATTTCCCACATAATAATAGAAATGCTGCAAAGTGAGTATGGTTAGATGATTATTTCATGGGCATATCATAACTCATTGTCAAATTATCAATATATGCACATAACGTAATGTTCTTTAAGTTATGAACTCTCACCTGTACACGTCATACTTCGTTCCGGGAGGTTCAGGATTCTGGGTAAAGGTCTCTGGAGGCACATAGTTTATGTTCCCTCGAGCTGTCAGGTGTTCAATAAACTCAGTCTTACTAGAGAACTCCTCCCATTTAATGAGGCCAAAATCTGAAATCTTTAAAGAGAAAATATATCCTAAAACTGCAACAACACTATGAGGTTGTATATTTTAACGTAACATATTGCATATATGTAGAAAGTAACATTAACCAAGAATAATAAAAGCTGTAACTAATGTTATCATATAAACAACCTTATTTTAAAGAGTTAGCAAAACCACTAGCTCTCTTTCTTGTAGAGTCGCTTTTTTTCCCCCCCTTTTTTTTTTTACCAGAAATTACTTCAGATACAGTTTAAAACATGACATAGCGTCTGACTCACCTTTACGTGAAGATGATCATCAAGAAGAATGTTAGCTGGTTTCAAGTTTAAATGAAGGATGGGCGGTTTCATGCTGTGCAGAAAATTCATGCCCATCGTCATCTCATGGATCATTTGGAACTTCTTGGGCCACATTAAGAAATAATTGCTGAGAAGGTTATCCAAGGATCCCTTTCTCATATATTCCATCACTAAAGCAGGCGGATCTTTGCTTATTCCATAAATGGAGATTAAATAATTGAACTTCATTCTTCCAATTTTGGACATCTCTATCATGTTCCTATTGGGTCATAAAATGTAAAATAATTGATAATAAAATAATATATATAGTACATGCAAATATTTTATATAAAGAGCAGACAATAAAAAGAACAATACAAAATACAAATATAATGAGAACTACAAAAATACAGACAATAACATACAGTTTAATATATCCATATTTAAATTTACTGTAGTTAGCTTTCAATAAAACTGTCAGTTTATAATACTTCTGTCATTATGGTAACTGCCAACTACTTACAAATAATAGTATATCATTTCCTACTTTCACGTGTAATTGTACCTGTAATCATCATTGGTTGTAGTCTTTAGGGCACACGTTTCCCGCCAGACTTTCAGCTTCACCTTATAGACTCGACCAAACTTGCGCTCGGCCACTTTCTCCCAGTCATTTTCGAACTCGTCTTTTTTAAAATGAGTAATTCTCTCCTGGCAGCCATCTCTGAAAGAATCCTTTACACTGGAATTATCTGCTGTCATTTTGTTTTCCAGGCTCAGGAAATGAAGACTCTGTCCTTCAACATTTCTTCTTGGCACTCAGAAACCAGGTCGAGGAAATGCATATTAAACAAAAAGGACAGCTGGTTTTGGTGGGAGGCGTCAGAGCACTGATTATTAGAATAGAAATGCAACACAACCAGTTTTGAATGAGTTACACACAGGTGAGGTTGAGAGATTTATGCGAGACACCTGATAACTGGATATACAGGTTCATGTTTTTACAGAAGGGATTGCCTCATAAGGCATGTTTGTGGTTTGTTGTTAGGGAAGAAGCAGCATTTTATTTAATATAGCCTAATTTAGTGACATGTCCAAAGATATTTTATGCTAAATATATAATTAAAGGGTTTTATGATTAATTATCTTACAGATCAACACTGTTTTATCAACACACAATTTAGTGCAAAAAAAAATGCATGGCACATTTTCATTATAATTACTATTGTTCTCTGGAAGTTTTCCCACTGTTCATTAATCTCTCAAGCACTGCCTCTTGAATTTCTTGGCACACATTAGCAAAAACCTGTGAAGTGAATGTTATTCTAAGTCAAAGTGTGATGCAAATGAACCTTTAATGGCAGGTTTTCAAAAATAAAGTAATAATATTAATAACAGTAATTAAAAATCAAGCGGCGAGCAGCACTTTTGAACCGAGGGGACAATGCCATGCCTCTTCAGCGTTCTTGTAAGGCTTCGAAGGAGAGACTTGGCATGCAGCCGCTGCGATTCAGGCTTTGTCCTCCACTCGAAGAGACACTTCATCCTTTAAAAGGTGCACAAAGCCAGCCACCACGTTTCAACGTGAATACAGAATCTGTTGATTTTCTTCTTGATGGACCAGATTCACAGTCAAGACATGCCATAATGTTCTAATTTGAAATAATACTATGAAGTTGTCTGTAATTTTCAGTGTACAGTGCGCAAAGCAATTGAAACTGTTATAAATGACCTTTTACCACTAAAGGTAATGCAATCAATAAGCTAATTACCTTAATTATTGAGGGAGTAATTACGCATTAAACAACCTCAAGTGTTTCTAACGGCCTAGTTCTGCACTTTCAAAGATTTAATATTGAAACTAGTTTCTTTCCAGTTCTGTGACATATTCGCTTCGTGTCCTGTTGGGCCCATTTTGATTGTACTTTCAATTACAAGAAGCTATTATGTTTTTTATTAAGTGATCTTCATAGACAGTAAATCTGATGCGCCCCTAGGTTGTCCCAGCCTGACGGTGGGATTTACATAGAGATGCATCTCAAAGGCAATGTCTGCTTGTTACTACTTAATTGCTTCTTTTTTCATCCAACGGCGATTACTTGAGAAGGAAACACATGGAGTGAAATCTAATACCAGCTGAACAACATATCTAACTTTTGTGAGCGCTGGGGTAGTGACACATAACGAGAAGCATTCATGTATATCTTTGACATCAGCACATCCTGCATTAAAGAATGGTAAATGTCAAAACAGCTTAGAAAGTAGACAGTGGTAGGATGAACAACCCAACCGAGCGTTAGAGGGACAGTTCACCCTCACCCTCATGTCATTCAAAACCTTTCTTCTGCAGAACACACACGCACATAAAAAAATATATTTTGAGAATTTTTTATATATACTGTATATTGTTTTTTATCAATACAATGAAAGTCAATGGGGTCCAATCCTGTGTAGGACTTGACAGATGTTTATATACATTCTTCATAAGATGCGGTCAAATTTCAAAGGTCAGCATTCTGTTGGACAATCTGCATGAGCAACTGGAAACTGTTGTGAAATTTGTGTGGGTAAAACTTTTGCCCTCAAACGAAATTCCCATTCACATGGATTCCAACTGAAATGACTGGATTTGGTCTGAGAAAATTTGCAGAACAAAGGTAAACGTGACTGCACTTTTAAGGTTCTGAAACGACATGACGGTGAGTTATGCGTATTATCCCTTTAAATAGCTGTGTGACAAAAGTATTCACATTGAAATGGTTAATTGGCTTGTATTTTTAACATCTCTATTGTAATACTCAAAGCTTGACACTATGATGCAGAATAAATGAATATTCAGAAGAACTTTGGGTTACTTTTAACAATGTTAAAAGTTGCATTAGTTTCCCAGTGCAACAACTAAACATAATGATGAGCAATTCAAAACCTGTCAGATAATGATTGAGTGCTCGATGCAGATTTCAGTCCGGTTGGCTGGCTTGCAGTGAGCTCTGTTCTGTTAGCATTCACAAAGGCCCCTGGACCAGCAGTAGGCAGACCTTTGCAAACAACGTCTGTTCCCAATCCAGACAAGCAAGAGAGCCAAACACGCCAGCAAACAGCCGGCCACTGAGCTGATAATCACCACCATGGCTTCAGTGTCATCTGTATTAACAAACCAAATCAGACCGACAGTTGGGCTGAAATATCTTCCCATTAGTTTGTTTTATTACTCCACCAGAACAACTTGGTAATATAGTACGTTACCTGCTGTTTCAGAGGCTGATGAATTGTCTGCTCCTTTCAAAACAGGGCCGAAAGAAATGCGGTTTCCTGTGCTGCTGAAGATGGCCCTCGATTCCTCTCCGAGACGCTGCACACACTGCTGAGATGTGAAATGGATAACCAATAATGTCATCATCCTGAAATCTAGCCATTATACAACGCAGAAATAAATTCCCTGAACTTCTGCATACTTTAAACTTGTTTACAGACTCGGCGAGTTATTCTGTTAGCCTACGAACTGCCGACCACTTCACTTTCTGTCTTGCAGTGACAGAGTAACAAGCTGCAGAAGATCATTTATTTAGAAACTGCAGATGCTGTCATCAAAAGAGGGAGAGTAATGAAAAGCAGAACATTTTTCAGGAGAAATATTGAGACCTCTTCAACAGTGATAAATGATCCCCGAGTTTTCATCTGTGAGGCCGGGTTGAGACTCACCCTCTCGCACTCAGAATGGTTCCTCAAGCACACACTCAGGTCACAGTGCAGGTAAGCGGTGGAGTAATTGATCATCTGGAAAAGACTGATGGTGAAGCTAGCCCTCTTTGACAGGACGCTAGGAAGCAGTCTAATGCCATGAGGTTCTATAGGCAGCCTGAGGGAGAACAAATCAAAGAGAAGCATTAGCTCTGATGGCACGCACATTGCTAAAATAATGAACTTGAACGTGAAAGCATGACAATTAAATCCTGTGGATGGATTGCTGTATGTAGATTTGTGATAGTTCTATGTTATGATATTCGTCTTATTGATGTTATTGTGAAAGATTTCATTCATGCATTCATCAACATTTAAAAAAAAAAGACCTCAAAATCAAAATGTCATAACTGGATCTTGCAGTGAAATGACAGACTTCTCTCTGGTGATGTATGCCGGACTTCTCCAATTATTTGGTCCTCATAAACCATGCCCCTTCCTGTTAATCGACTGAAAGCTCGCATTTAGATCTGCCTCCATCCGGATCCGATCAACACCCGATGTATAGAATCAAGTTCCCGCCCCCCGCCGGATAAAAATAAACTTCATGCGTAAATTAAAACTTAATTTTTTCAGTTACACATGAAGTTTATTTACCTAATAATTTTAAGGTGACAGGTTTCCTCACTTTTTTATTTAAGTCAAATGATCACTTTTTACAGTGTGCCTGTGTCAGTGTCTAAGATTCTTGCACTAAGCCTCGCTGTACTGTATATGTCAGTGAGAGAACACTACTTGTACTTATGTACTATAAACAGTATATAGTGCAGAGGTATGCAAAATGGGAAGCCCCGGTTTCCTCCCTCTGAACCTTTATCAGCTGTTGTTGATGTTCCCCAGAGCAATTTACAAAAATGAGTGGTTTATACACTTTTGTTATGTTTTATAATGTGTTTTGTACATTATATTTGAGGAAATCCTACCTCTCGTCTCCCTGATTGAGAGACAATTTTGCTAAACAAAAGTACATTACTGTACTTCCAAAATATAGAATTTTGAAAGAATTTACCTCATAGATTATTGTTTTGATAACACGACTCTACTGAAAGTACACACTGTGCTGTCTCTGGATATTAGTGTCAGAGTGCTATTGGCAACAGAGCCGAGACACTCACAGAAAGTAAATACTTCACACACCAGTAGGGAAACAGACATCAGCAGTTTACTGTACTGCTCTAACCACACAACTTTCAGCTCGATATAAGTACATGCTTCGCCCAGGATATTTATAGCTTTCCCAAGTTAAACAGTTTGAGGGAATGTTTCTTAGCCAGTCGTTATAATGCTGTTCCCCTGTGATAAGGTGACCAGTTAAAACGTAGCTGAGTCATGTAAACAGGAACTAATGCTGATGTATTAAACCTTCACATAAAAACGAGGGAGATGGGATCCGTATAATCCAGCCATGCTCGAACCACGTAGCTGATTTGGTACCATAATGTGAAATGTGGCCTGGTTCAAGGGCACCATGTGATTTGAGTTAATCTAAAATAACCTGAGAGGAGCACATTACCTGGAAAAAATGCAGCAGGTGGTGTTAAATTCATCTAGTCTGCCAGTAGGCGAGAGGCAGCAGGATTTTATCTCTAGGTTGACCTGGCTGTTATTTGTTTTGAGGCTGATGACGACACGCAGGTTTCCTAGGGCAGGGATGAGATCTCCGGGCATGATATCTCTCTCCAAGTTCAGACTCATCTCTGCTGTGTAGTTGCCAGTGCCGCAGATATCATCAGAGATTTGCGCCTGACTGGAAGAAGACAATCAGACGGTCAAAATCCAATTGAGTGCAGTGAAAATTAATCATGTTGACTACAGTTTATCACCATGCTGGCATCTCTATAGATTGCATCTGTACTTGTAGAGCTAAAGTTTATTCAGTACCGTTCCATCCACAACAACAGCAGCCATACTTCTTTGTCAAATTTAAATAAAAAATAATAATAATAAAAAAAACGAATGTAATTATCTAAACAAACAAAAGTAGTTCACCAGATAATACTGATGCAAGTGGGACACTAAAATGTGACATGATTTTTTCATTGTGGTTGTGTTTGCCATTTTGTGTCTCATTAATCCCATTAAACAAAATAGTCCAATTAATCAGATAATTTCAGATATTTTATTTTGTTTTTAATCAATCAATCAATCAATCAATCAATCAATCAATCAACCTCTCTATCTGCTTATTGATCTAGCACAGCACAAATGCTAATACAATTGTTTCTGTTCCACATTAAAAGTGATTGAAGAGTTCTGAGTCATTACCCACTGAGAGAATCGGATGATATAGCCGTCCTCTTCCTGTTTATTACAGGTAGGTCTGACACAAACTCAGTAGATCTCCATGAGTCACTTTCAGCAAATGAGGTGGTGGCATGTGAAATATCTTCATTCCCTCCCCTGGAGGCTGATGAACCATTGGGGAGCGATTGTTTCTCTGTACTTGAGAAACTCAAATCCTTGTGGAGAAGAGGAGAGAACTTTTCCCCAGTAACAGCAGACAGCGCAGTCCGCCCAATGTGCTTTTGTACATCATCTGTTGCGCCTAAACTGGACATTTCATCAGATGGAAAGTTCGATTGTGTCGTTTGTGAATCCTGATTTACTGTTGAGGAAAAATCTGTCTGGTCCTCAGTTAAAGTCAAATGCTCTTTATGAAACACATTCTGCATTTGAAAAGGAAACAGAGGAAAAGTTGTTCCATTGGATGATTCAAGGGGTGACGTGTTCAGGGCCCCTTCTGGACGTGCTGCAGCTGTTGTGTGCCAACTGATGCCAGAAATTTGGCTGGATGTCATGTTCTGAGGATGCTCCTTAACATCTGATAAATTTACAAACATGTGATGTGATAAAAGTGAATTTTTGTGGTTGTCTTGTCCACTTTTATGCACTATTGCTGGCCCAATAGACACAGAAGGTGAAGCAGAGAGGATCAAATGTTGTTTAAACTCTGTAATCAAGTGAACATTGGGGGAAACAGATGTGTGAATTGGGTGTAAAACAATCTTGTGCGGAATTGGCGTCAACAAGGTTTGATTCGCGCCTCCAACTGAACGACTGTTCTGATCATGGGGTTTCAGAGTTGTTGGTTTAACCATGTCATCTCTCTTTTTTAAGTATGACTCAATCTGAAGTACAGATTGTGTTTGCGGTGTTTCTGTGAGAAATATCTCTCCAGGGTGAGCTTCAATAAGCTGCTGGACTGATGGGATACTGCTAAGCGTGTAGCTGCCGGAAAACAGCATCACAGTCCCTCTTGGGTTTTTAAGATCTTTTTGTTTGTCGTCTAACGGCAAAGCAATCTTTCCAGTTGTCAACGAGTGATTTAAAAAGACGTCCTTGCCATTACTTTTCTTAGAGATGGACAAAAGTTTTAAGAGAACTTTGGCATCTGTTGTCACAGTATTTTGTGACTTACCAAAAGGTGTTGGTAGCAGAAAGGACTTATTTTGTGGAACTGCACGAGCAAGATGGGAGATGTTGGGAAAAGACACCCGTGGTTTTAAAAACATAGTTGTTGTAATGAAGGTCTTTGTTGTGGATATGTTGCTGTTAGAAAGTGGGACCCTAAAATGTGACATCTTTTTGTTGATTGTGGTTGCATTTACTGTTTCGTGTCCTGTGTCCAATGTACTTGAGTTCATGTTTGGCCTCTCGGATATGATGAATGGGACGTTTTGTGACCCACCGTACTCTTGGTTTTGGTTAGTAAATTCGAACTTAGAGAGGTTTTCCATATTTGTAAATCTCTTCACAGTTGCAGACGTAACTGAAGGTGGAATAGATTCATGAGCTTGAACTGATACAAAAGGCTTTAATTTCTCTGTGGGGAAAAGATTTAGTGGCTGTTGAGGGTGATGATCGTTCACTTTGAAGACATGAAACACATTCTTAACCTTTGTCAAAGGTGGAAGAGGCACTGCAGTAGATAATTGAAACTGATTGAAGTGTTTGAGAGTGTCTTCTTGAGTTGAAATGGTTCGGAGAGCGGCAAGTGAACTTTGAGTCTGTTTCATGAACATTCGCTTATTTGCTATAGTTGCTTCCTCAGCGTTGGTAAATGAGGCAGTACTAAAGGCTATCAATTCACTCGGATGAACTGGAAAATTATCCATTCTGTTACGTTTCTCTGTCACAGAGAAATTAGATGTTCTGGCTTCTTTGGTACAAAGATCTGACGTTTTGAGTAGAGAAGAGTTTTGAGCGACCAAAGAAAGGTCACTTTTATTCAGGCGATGAACGAAACTGTTTGGTGAGGTTTGGAGCGTTGGTTTAATTTGACGCTCTTTACTTGATTTGGTGTAAAAAATTGATTTGCTTTCTAGTCCATCCCTTGCTGAGACAATTCTATGCACGGAGTCAGATATCAACCGAGAGTCCACAAATTGTTTTGTCGTGTGGATTTCGCCAGCAGCTGTTTCCATGTTTGAAAAATAATTCAGCGTGGTTGCGTCTGGAATCTTTGTAGGGGTCAGCTTTGAAGCAGAGAATAAAAAGATTGAGTCTGGGTGCTTTAGTGACACCCCGAAGGGTTTTGGTCCATTGGTGTTGGGATATTTGCTGCTTTCTATCATTTTATTAACTATTACTTGGCTGGTTGATTTCACTTGTAATGGAGTGTCAAGGATCACTGAACTTGGTGAAAGCAGATTCTTCTGTTCTTTTGGCTCATGCTCAGATCCACTTTTTGGATTTTGACCAAGCTCAGTGGTTAAAAGCCCTAAACCCTGCAAAACTGTAAAATGCATAATGGTCGAATGATTCTTATTTAAAGAAGCCTCTTCAGAACGATTCAGAGGATTATCAGCTCCAAACGACTCCAGGGTCCAATTTTCATTCTTGTTTTCGCCCTGTCTTTCCACACTCTCGTTTGACTCCCTAAGGTTATCAATTACTGCTGGATCAGAGGCTGATACCATGGGAATGTCATTTGCGGGCAAAGGAGTAATAGACTCCAAGACTCTTTGATTCTTGCTTTCCAGTGAAGCGTGAAAAAAAGCTGAGATCTTTTCCCTGGCTCTGGACAGATGAGCAGCAGGCATCATGGTGTCATTCATCATTGACTCAAATTCAGCCTCAGCTGAGGGATGAAGCCTTCCCTCATCATTGGAGATCAATGAGAGGTCTCCTTTGGACTGAAACGGCTTCACTGCAGTGCCATCCTTACCCGTGAAATGTGAACCTGTACCATAAGCCAAGACAATTGGCCCATTTGAGGTAATTGCATCTTTATCAGTGGTTGTGGTTGCATTTATTGTACTTGAGTGCTGCCTCTCATGTGGTGTATGGAACAAATCTGTCCCTGGAGAACTGATTACAGGCAGAGTCAGGCGAGCAGGGCTTTCGGTGGAAACTTTTCCACTGTTGTCACTGGAGGTGTTTTGCTCTTCTGATGGGATAGTTATTATGAAGGTTGTGCTCTCGGTTTGCAGGGACTGAAAGCCTTGCAGGTCCTCCTTCTTAGCACTCACTGAAAAGTAGTAGAGTTGCAATATTGCTTGTGAGATGGCTCATAAAATACACATAAATACCTATAGTATAAACAATTCGAGAGGCATTAAAATTTTACGACCGAATACACGGAAAAATATAGATACAGTTAAAATTATTGCATGCATAAGGGTGGTTCCGTAACAGTACAAACGAGTGAGTTGCAGCATTTGCCATTTCTAATGAATAATTCAGTGTTATTTATTAGACAGAAATGTGTTAAATGTTTTGGGAAATTAAGTGATCTCTGAATATTTGCAACAGCTGGACAGGAAAATGTAGAAGCACAAAACTGAACACATAAGAACGGGTCCATAACACTGTATTGAATTGAAACATTTACTTTGAATCTAATCAATAGTGCTCTTATATCACAATTAAATATATTAGAGAATTTTTTTATATTTTTTTTGATACCTAATCGGTGGGTATAATGGGTAAGCCTTAAAAAAATTATAATTATATAAAAATATCAACTACTATATATAAAATTATAAATTACAAAATTGATCATTACTTTGTTATGAATTTTTGAAAAATTTTTCAATTGTAATTATGCATATATATATATATATATATATATATATATATATATATATATACAAACATTATATTCATTTATTACATATTTAGTCAGAAAAAATATATAAAAATTAGTTAATTTTATAGTTTGTAAACTACAACTATATTTTTAAACTATAATATCTTTAATAAATCATGTCTCTAACTTGACATTTATGTGCTGATCACAGCAGTTATTGAAGACAAACTTAGTGTACATACCTGTGAGTCCAAAAATGAAAAATATGTAACCAATCCCCATGCTTAATCTTCTCTCTTGGTTTCTTTTAAGCTACACATACATAACATTATAATAAAACTACATTGAGATGCACAACACAGAATACTGTTCCAACAGAGCTCACACCACACTCTCTGAAGGAACTTACTGTGAGCTTTACCTTCCTCTCTTGTCATTTATAAGTAGATTAGATTACTGACACGTGAAAAAAAGGAAGCTGAGAAAATGAAACGGATTTCTGCGTCAGTAGAATCCCTCATCATCCTCATCGTGTTTGACTGTGTATAATTTTTCATGCGCATGTCGGCTTGCGTGAGCTGCTATGATAAGCTAGTATCCGAGTCATCCATTATTAAACAGATTCAGATAAGACTCAAATAAACTGTAGAGCAGTGGTTCCCAACCTTTTTACAAGGAGACCCCTATTTAAACATTAAAAAATTTGAACGATGAGGAAAATCATTTGTTACTTTTTTAAGAAATGCAACAACGGAAACATTAAAGGTTTAGTTCACACAAAAAAATGAAAATTTTGTCATAATTCACTCACCCTCATGTCATTCCAAACCTGTAAAACTTTCGTTCATCTTCGGAACACAAAAGAAGATATTTTAATTAAAATATGAGAGATTTCTGTCCCTCCACTGACAGTACACGCAACTACTTGGACTCTTCAAAAGTTCATAAAGAGATCGTAAAACTAATCCATATGAATTGAGTTGTTTAGTCCAAATTTTCTGAAGAGATACGGTAGCTTTAAATGATGAACAGATTGAATTTAGGCTTTTAAGAAAACCAAAAGGAAGGGGTTTCATTTCATATCAGATTTGATAATATAGGCACCAAACAGAATTTCCATAAACAAAGCTGTTTCAGCCAATGGAATGGGGTCCCAAGGACACAATTTAAGAGCCTTCAAAAATAAAACTGGGAACTGGTAAAATACTATTGTTAATATTATTAAAATACTAAATACTATACTATTATCTAAAAAATCATTAGCGATAGGCTTGCAAAAAACAATTTTGTTTGAAGTCAGTTGTCATCAACGTTGGCTTCTTTTGTGTTCCACAAAAGAAAGTCAGTCATACAGATTTGGAACAACATGAGGGGTAAATGATGACAGTATTTAAATGTTTTGGTGAACTACCCCTTTAATTTAATGTAGATAGTTTAACACAAGTTTAAAAAAAAAAAATAGCTTACATCACATTTAAGGATAGTGGTGCACCATCTGAAACAAAATATGCTCTGGGACAAACCTTAAGTGTTAAGGTTCCATATTGCAGTCTGTTTGTCAAATCCTATCCCAAACCCTGGATTACACTGTCAGACTCATTTCTGCTAAACCTATTTGAACTGTGACAATTTAACTTTTTCTCAGTACATCATCAAATGCTTTCTAAAGCTATCAAGTCTGCAAAGATGAGCAGGCATTAACCATAATAATCTTCAAATGCAGATTTATTAATCTTTTTATTCAACACATGAAAGCTAGCATTAATCCATATATCAACAAACAGGGAACAAAATGTAATCAAGGCAACACACTTCCCAAGTGAGTCATTTGGGATGAAAGGATATTGAAACGTTTCGAATATCGTCCCGGGGCAACATGTTCTCTACAACAGCAGATAACGGAATCACATGTCAATGTGAATTCTCTCTAATTAAAATGAACACAGGAAACAGCTGTATAATCAAGATAGGCCTTAAGGCATGACAGTAATTTGTGGCCTCACTTAAGATGAGCATCTTAAGCTGTGAACCAAAGGACAGCATTCATCTGTATGTGTGTGTGTGCGCGTTTGCATGCGTGTCCTGAGTTATGGGGTCAATTATTGAGGAACCGAATGTGGGTAGTGGCTCACGTGATCAATCTCACACAGGAATGAAGGATTTCTAAACCATGAAGCTCCCTGAGTTTCTTCATGTGCCTGAAGAAAAAAAAAATCAAAACAGATTTATCAAACCAACAGAATTCGTTTTTTTTCTCATTTTGACCACACAATGTATTCTGAACAACCAAATATAAAACCAGAGCTAAGAATATGAAGTGCAAAGAAGAATGAAACCGTCAGCCAGTTTGCTCTGCATATAAAGTAGGTTCATCGGTTAATGTGTAATATTTTTGGCAGTGTCTGTACCCTCCGCTGTTTCTGTCTAGAATGTCTTTTTTAGGCTGCACTCTGATCTCAAAGGTTTGAATTCTCACAGTAAAGACTCATGCTCGGGGCAGCATTACCTCTGAGAAGTTGAAAGCTCATC